AGTATTGTGCGCTACCCATTACTCTTGGTAGTAATAATATGGGCAAATCCGCGTTTTGTCCCCGGGGGGGGACACAAAATTCGTGTCCCCTGGTGGGAAGTGGCCAGTAAAAAGTGCAAAAACTGTAGGGTTTGTTCTACCCGACACAATCAGCGGTCTAAAAAGCGCATAAAATGGGCAAGATATGGGGAAACCCCCGTTTTGTCCCGGGGGGGGCGACGTAAAGTTCGTGTCCCCTGGTCGGAAGTGGCCAGCAAAGTTTGCAAAAATTATAGGGTTTGTTTTACCGGAACAGCGGTCTAAAAAGCGCTAAAAATGGGCAAGGTATGGGCAAATCCCCATTTTGTCCCCGGGGAGGAACAGAAAGTTCGTGTCCCCTGATTTGCGTTCCCTATACATTGAGAAAGACATATCACCAAGTTTCGCTGAAAGCCCACCTTCCCGACCCCGGATTGAAAATCTGAGACCGGATATCGCATCTACACACCGACAGCAACCCACAACTGAATTTTTAGAGCATTGGTGGTTTGGCAACATTATCGATCTCAACCCCTCCCCGGCATATTCCGCAAGGCGCCTTAGAGTAAACCCGGGAATTAAGGAACACCCCCCCATTCAGGAACACTTTTTTTTAACGGACGTATCTCCCTCCGCGCACAATTCGTGGGGACCCCTGTTTTTTTTTTTAGGTTCTTAGCGTGCCGATCGGGTCAAGCTCTGCCGAGCTATACAGCGTAGCCCCCACCAACAACCCTGATGTGGGCCATCTTTGCCCTTGCTGGGGTCCTGCTGCTATGCATGGGACGGGCGAGAGTAGACCCAGAGCGGGCCCAGAAGGCTGTCGATGCAGCACGCAGCGGTGAGGTGTCGTTTAGGGTTGCTGCGACACCTACGGGTTGAACCCGACCTCGCTCCACCGCCGTGTGAAGAAGGAGGTGGCCATAGATGCGAGGATTGGTCCCGGGACTGTCCTATGCAAGGAGGAGAAAGATTTCGTAGAAGGTGTGTTGATCTTTGCCTCCCGACACTTCTTGCTGTTGGGTCGGAGGGAGCTGAAAGACGCTGTGCGGAAGATCTGCCTCGACGGACGCAAGGTGCCCTGGGACTCAGACAAGGGCCCTGGGGGACAGCTGGCTTCAGTGATTCATGGCGAGGCACCCGGGGTTGTCGGAGCGAGGTCGCCCCGGTAGTCTAGTGGGTAACCTCGCAGCCTGCTAAGGGCCAGGTCATGGGTTCGAGTCCCGGCAGAGTGAGTTTATTTCTCACTAAATATATCCTGGTCTAGGATGAAAGCGACGCGCTGCAAAGCTCGTTGTTAGTAGACTAAACCATAATCGACTTCGTAAGTCGCGAGGGAAGGGATTGCTGCACCCTTCTCGCGGTAAAAATTACTCAGGCAGGAACCGCAGGAGGGGGTCCAGCCCCCCCCTCCTATGTGACCCCGTTGGGTCGTCTAGCTAGTAGAAGTGGAGGATAGGGTCCAGAGGGGCAGACGACAGAGTCCAATGATGGGAGAAAAAAAAATAATCTACGAAGCAAACCGGATCAACGAAGACGACGAGCCTCGCCTTGAAGCCTTCTACGAGACATGGGAAGCGTACCTCGCGGAGACCAAGCTCACGCCGGACCGCATCATCAACACGGACGAGACAAGTGAGTTAGGGCAAGGGCTGAGGTGTCAGTGGCATCAGTATCGACTGCTGTGGGTTCGTAGGCGAAGTACCAGCAGCACTGCGATGTGTGTGATGTGTGTCACAACAAAGCGGAGTTCTGCTCCTGCAAGAAATAAACAACAGCAGTTGTTCCGCATATCTTTCCGAGGCCGCTGCTGCTTGCCATGCTTGTAGCACACAACGCACATATGATGCTGTCGAAGAAACAAAATGGTCCCGTCACCACCGCTGTGAGCCACCGCCCGGTGCGAGCTGCGCTCATGTGCGTGTGTACGCGCGCTTTTGTTTTGTGTGTGCGAGCGCTGCTGCGAAAGTATGTGTACTTTACTGAATGTTCGACTGCCTCCACCCCCGATGCACGCGCGTTCTCCGGTGTGTGTTGTAGGTTCCACCCCACAAGGTACAAAGTTGGGCTATCGTGCCAACAGGCACCAAGATGCCCGGCGCGAGGCGCTCCAACTCGCGAGAAAATACGACGGTGGTCGCCAGCATCGGCGCCGACGGCCACACCTACAACCCTATCATCATCTACAAAGGCCAGCGTATGCAACCCGCTTGGATCCAGGACAAGAACGGCGTCCCCGATGCGAAGTACACCGTCACGGAGTCATCCTTCATCCAGAGCCATGTGTTTCTCGACTACCTTCGAGACCTCCGCGAACAGCTCGACGCACGCGGCTTGCAGGGCAAAGTTGCCTTTGTGCTCAACGGCCACGCCTCGCACACGACCTTCGACGCCATCAGCTCGGCCATCTCTCTGGACATCGACTTCTTCCAGCTCCCGTCCAACACATCGCACATCACCCAGCCCTTGGACGTTGGTGCGTTCGGAACCTTCAAGAAGGAGCTCACCAGGGTGCTCACGGCCTACCCACTGCAAATCGGGGGGAGGAGTCCGGTGACGCGCGACACGGCTGGCGTGATTGCAAAGGCATGGAGAGGGAGCTTCACGCCTGCGAATAACATGACGGCGTTCAAAGGGGCGGGCTTGTGGCCGGTGAATATGGAGAAGGCCATCAACCGACTACACAGCAAGAGGAAGCAACGGGAGAATGACAGCCCTATCCCTAAGACCTCGCCGTCGTTGCCTCCAAGAAGCAGCTCGAAAAAGATCTCGGCCAAGCTGCCCTCCTGAAGCTGAAACGACAGGGAGTGATGATCGAGGGGCTCCGCGTAAACACCGTGTTCCTCGGCGGGCTCACCCGCCTCACCAAGCGCTCCAGGTCNCCCTATCCCTAAGACCTCGCCGTCGTTGCCTCCAAGAAGCAGCTCGAAAAAGATCTCGGCCAAGCTGCCCTCCTGAAGCTGAAACGACAGGGAGTGATGATCGAGGGGCTCCGCGTAAACACCGTGTTCCTCGGCGGGCTCACCCGCCTCACCAAGCGCTCCAGGTCTTTCGCGACCGTTCGGGCGGGCGGGGGGAAGCCCGAGGGCGGTCTTCTGTCCGCCGAAGACCACCTTGGTAAGGCGAGGAAGGACAAAGAAGAGAAGGAGGCAGCTGAAAAAGTAAAGGCAGACAACGCCAAGGCCTGTACAGAGGCAAGGGCGGCGAGGGAGGCCAATCTTGGGCAGGGCGGCGGGCGGAGCGGTGGGCAGGGAGGCGGGTGGGGCGGGCGGGGAGCTGGAGGACGAGGCGCAGGGAAGAGTGGGGGGCGGGGAGAGGGAAGGGGCGGGGGACGGGGAGAGATGAGTGTGGGGGGTGGGCAAAGTGGTACGCGGACGGAGGTCGGGGGGCGCGGCTGTGGTGGGGGTCGAGAAGGGCGAGACGGGCGCGGCCAGGGACAGGGTGGCCGGGGCCGCCCCGCTGGTGTTCGCGGAGAGGAAGGGGGGCTGGTGGGCGGGTGGGGGCCGGTGCTCGCGTCCAAGGAGGAGCGGGGACGGCCGAGAGGGGCGGTGGTTCCCTTGGTTCAGCCGCCGCCGCCGGCGGCCCCTGTTTCCTCTCGAGGACGGCAACGAACCCCGACATCAATCGTTGATGTGTAGACTAGATGCAGTACGGTTATCGTTTTTTTATTCGAGTAACGGATGAATTATGCGAGTGAGACATACAGAAAACGTCAGTTGAGTGTCGAGGTGCCGATATGCATGCCAGGGTTGTGCTTCAACAGCTTTTGGGGGTAGTTTTCGAGCGTCCCACGGGGGGGAGGGGGGATGGGGATTGTAGAGGTGTTTTCCGGAACCCCGGGGACGTTGAAATAATGTCCACGGGCCTGAAGGGCTATTGATTTTTTATGCTGCTTCGCGACTTGAGTTGATCGTCTTGAAGGGACCGTTCGATGGGGCGTTCGAGTGGTGGGAAACAGGTGCGGTTTTCTGCGATAAGTCTCACCGCAGTGCCAAGCTGCATTTTGCATGGCCCAGTTTACGTGCTTGAGGTCAAATGAGCTCCAGACGACATAGTTTTTTCATACAGTTCAAATTGATGTGCCTAGTAGAAGCTTGGGGTGGTTGCTAGGGCTATGCAGAGATGCTTGGGGTGCACTCCACCACCGGGGTCGGGGGGGGGGGGGG